CAGACACACACAGCAGGGAGGGGCTTAGAGGCAGACATACACACAGCAGGGAGGGACTCAGTCCCCTCCCTGCCAGCCTAGGTTGTTTCCTGTCTTATAGGCTCTGCTACACCAGCACCCCCCCCCCCTCAAACACAGGGAGAACACACAAACTCCACACACAGATTACTGGTGGAAACTTGAACGCTGGTCTCAGGGGTGGGAGGCAATAGCACTTAGCACTAACCACTACCCCACCATGCCACCCACACTGGGCTCATTTGAACTAAAAATATATCATGATAAATACCATCGTTAAAAGAAACAGGTAGCAAGCATGCAATAATTTTTTTTTAATATATATAGAGCCCTTTGTTCTTAACTTTTGTCACAAAATTTAAGGTTCACACATTTTCAGATCTTTACATGATGTTTCATTTGGTCAAAATTCTTGATTTTTTTACCCAGAGAAAGAGGAAACCCCATGATGATAAAGGCAGAGCCTGCAAACTCCACACATGGTGCCATGAGAGGGACTCGAACCCTGGTCCTGGGAGTGTGAGGCAATGCTGCTAACCACTATCCTACCAACCTGTTTTTTTGCCATCAGTTATGCACCATTTCAGGTAAACTAGGAGACCAAGTTGTTGAGTATCTGTACTGGCTTGTGTGGCTTAGTGGGCTAGTTGTCTGTGCTTGTGATCAGAAGGTCATGTGTTCAAGCCCAGCCTTAGCTTGCCTGTGGGTTTAGAGGAAAAGATGGGCTTAGGGGTTGTGTGTTATTATTACAATTTAAGTTATTATTATTATTATGCTGCTGTCACACTTGTTTAATATTAAGGCCCTTCCCTAATTGGCATGGGAGGGAGACTTGAACCCTGGTCCTGGGAGTGTGAGGCAACATTGTTAACCACTACCCTACCAAGCCACCCTTCACCCTTCACCCTTTTTTTAAAGCCTGGACGTCCTTTCTTCACCATTAGTTATGCACCGGTGCCGTTTCAGCTAAAGTAGGAGACCAAGTTGTTGAGTGTCTGTACTGGCTTGTATGGCTTGGTGGGCTAAGTGTCTGTGCTTGTGATCTAAAGGTCATGGGTTCAAGCCCAACCTTGGCCTGCCTGTGGGTTTAGAGGAAAAGATGGGCTTAAGGGTTGTGTGTTATTATTATAATTTAAGTTATTATTATTATAATGCTGCTGTCACACTTGTTTAATAATAAGATTGAGGCCCTTTCCTAATTAGGACTTACTATAAGTCCTTTACTCACCATTAGTTATGCACCGGTGCTGTTTCAGCTAAAGTAGGAGACCGAGTTGTGATGTTTCTGTACTGGCTTGTGTCGCTTAGTGGGCTAAGTGTTTGTGTTTGTGATCAGAAGGTCATGGGTTCAAGCCCAGCATTGGCCTGCCTGTTGGTTTATAGGAAAAGATGGGTTTAAGGGTTGTGTATTATTATTAGCCACCGCCTCCTTTGTTTTGATTTTGCCTGGATGTTCCTTCCTCATTAGTTATGCACCGGTGCCGTTTCAGGTAAACTAGGAGACCAAGTTGTTGAGTATTGGTATTGGCTTGTGTGGCTTAGTGGGCTAAGTATCTGTGCTTGTGATCAGAAGGTCATGGGTTCAAGCCCAGCCTTGGTCTGCCTGTTGTGAAACTGAATTTTATGACAATGAAAGTTCTTATCGCATGATGTCTACCTGGATTTTTTAAGCCTAAAGTAGGAAAGCATGAGTGTCTTGGTGGTGCAGTGGTAGCACTCTGGCCTCACACCTCTGGGACCAGCGTTCGAGCCTTGGCCAGGGTGCTGTGGGGAGTTTACATGTTCTTCCCAAGGCAGTGTGGGGTCCCCCCACAGTCTGAAAAACATGCCTGTCTTTTGGGGGGGGGGGCAGACAGAGAGACACACACCCCACCCCTCCCTCTCTCTCTCACACCCCACCCCTGTGTGACAGACACTAATAGTGCGTTCGTTTTTCTCTCGGAACTCGGAAATTCCGAGTTGAGTGACATCACGTCCGACAATCTCCCGTTCGAGCTACCCACATCTCGGAACAAACATGGCTGCCTCCATGAACACGTTGCTGTGTGTTGTTGCTTTATATTTTAGCAGATTTGGAGTTTTCCAAATGGAGAAAATGGAGAAATGGAGATTTTTCCGAGAGACAAACAAGAAACACGAACCAGTCAAACCACATTAAAAGCTTTATAAAATATTTTAGTACATTCATAGCGATATTCTTTTTTCGATCGGTAAACAAACTACAAACAAACCAAGTCGCCATGTTGAAATTACGTCACAGGGGCAACTCGGGCAACAAAATCTGGCGTGTTTCCGACGGGAAGTGACGTTTTCATCCGAGTTCCGACTTGGAGAGAAATAATCGAACCGCACCATTAGCTCACTAAGCCACACAAGCCAGTACAGACACTCAACAACTCTGTCTCCTACTTTAGCTGAAACGGCACCGGTGCATAACTAATGGTGAGGAAAGGACATCCAGGCTTATCTTTAAAAACAAAAAAAAAAAAGTGGGGGGTGGCTTGGTAGGGTAGTGGTTAGCAATGTTGCCTCACACTCCCAGGACCAGGGTGCAAGCCTCCCCCCCATGCACAACCACCACCACAACAACATGTGGAGGCCAAGACAGATAACCACCACCCTCAGCCCCCCCCCCAAATATACAACTAGAAAAAAGCAGATTGCCACATTTAGGGCCCCCACCTAAACTAACAGGCAGGCCAAGGCTGGGCTTAAACCCATGACCTTCTGATCACAAGCACAGACACTTAGCCCACTAAGCCACATAAGCCAGTACAGACACTCAACAACTCAGTCTCCTACTTTAGCTGAAACAGCACCAGTGCATAACTAATGGTGAGGAAATGACTTATAATAATAAATAACTATAATAAAGTCTTATAATAATAATATGAAACCCTTATCCCCATCTTTTCCAGTAAACACAAAGGCAGGCCAAGGCTGGCCTTGAACCCATGATCTTCTGATCACAAGCACAGACACTTAGCCCACTAAGCCAGTACAGATACGCTACAACTTGGTATCCTAGTTTACCTGAAAGGGCACCGGTCCCTAGATATTTTTTATTTTTTATTATGCGAGTGTAGTACTGCTTTTTGTGTGTGTGTGTGTGTGTATAGGAAGAACAGACCGCGGTGGGGGTGGGTGGAGTCCCTGATGATGTCACAGGCTCTCCTCAGACAGCATTTGAGTGCAATGTCCTGGATGGATGGAAGAGAAGTCCCGATGATCCTCTCTGCAGTCCTCACCACTCTCTGCAGCGATTTCCTGTCTGAGGCTTTTGAGCTGCCAAACCAGATGGAGATACCGCTGGTCAGCACGCTCTCTATGGTGCCTCGGTAGAAAGTGGTGAGGATGGGAGAGGGAAGGTATGCTCTCTGCATCCTGTGCAGGAAATGCAACCGCTGCTGAGCCCATTTCACCAGTGAAGTTGTGTTTCGTGACCAGTCCAGGTTTCCAGTTATCTGCACACACTGAACTAAAATCAACAATCAGCATTCGTACATGAGTGTTCTTGTCCTCAGGTGAAGAGCAGAGGAAAGGGCATCTTCTGTGGAGCGGTTTGGCCGGTAAGCAAACTGAAATGGTGTCGTCATTTACCAGCCTCTCGAAGCACTTCATCTTTATGGGAGTAAGTGCAACAGGGCGGACGTCGTTAAGACAGGTGATGGTGGATTTTTTGGGCACTGGAATGATAGTAGCAGACTTGAAACATGATGGCACGACAGCCTGCACCAGTGAGGTATTGAAGATGCCTGTAAGGACGCGTGCCAGCTGGTCAGCACGCTCACGGAGGGCCTGCTGCCTTCCGTGTGTTCACCTTCCTCAGGGTTTTCTGGACATCAGTCACGTTGAGGCTGTGCTTTTTCATCCGGGTGAGGATTAGCTTTTATTGCAGGGCTGTTGTCATTTCTTGCAAATCTACTGAAAAGACTGTTGAGTTTATTCAGCAGATGTGGGTTGTTGTCACACAGTGGAGGAACAGCCTTGTAATCTATTATCGCCTGAATCCCCTGCCACATCCGCCTGGTGTTACTGGGGTCACGAAAGAGACTTTGGATCTTTCCGGCATGGGTACGCTTTGCTGTTCTTATAGCATGGTTGAGGTTAGCTCTCACTATTCTGAGTGCAGTCTCATCACCCTACTTGAAAGCGATATTCCGTACTTTTAGCTTCTCACGTACCTCTTGCGTCATCCATGGCTTCTCATTGGCCCTGGTGGTGGTGTTCTTCATGACATAGATGTCCTCTGTGCCTTTGGATGTAGGCAGACACAGATTCAGCATACTCCTCCACATTAGTGTGCTGATTATCAGTGGCAGCAGCTCTGAACATGTCCCAGTCCGTGCGCTCAAAACAGTCCTGTAAGGCTTCCATTACTCCCTCAGGACAAACCCTCACCTACCTTACAACGGGTTGTCCTCTGGTCAGCAGGGGCCTGTATGCAGGTATTAGCATAACGGAGAGATGGTCTAAGGAGCCAAGGTGGGGGTGGGACAGCTCTGAAAGCATTCTTTAGGTTTGTATAGGCTAAATCCAGTGTGTTGATTCCCCTTGTTGCAAAGTCCCCATATTGGTGGAAATGGGGGAGAACTGTTTTCATGCTAGCCTGATTGAAATCTCCTGCTACAGTGAAAACGCCCTCTGGATGCGTGGCATGCAACTCAGTCATGGTCTGATAAAGAATATTCAGGGCCTCCTTTGTGTCCACACTGGGGGGGGGGGATGTACACAGCCATGAGGATAATAATGGTAAATTCCCTGGGCAGATGAAACGGTCCGCATTTTACAGTAAGCAGGAGAGCACTGACTTGAGATCGCTGCTGCATCGTTGCACCATCTGTTGTTAATATAAATGCGTAAATCGCCTCCACAGGATTTACCGCTGAGTCATGCATCCTTAAAGTTGCCTGGTAAAAAATTAGGGCTGTTACAAATGCATCAAAATCCACAAATCCTCAGAAATAGAACTCAGAACGGTGTTAAATCAGACTAAAAGACTTTATTTAAAATACAGACCCAAGGTCAGCTGGGTGGACAAGATTTCTCTTTGATACAAACACCTCAAAAACCATGTGATTAACAGCGATGGTGCTGCACATCACAGCACAGGGGACCTACACCAACGGCTGGGGCTCTCGCGTCACGTCTGAACCCAAGCTACATTACATTCGCGGAAAATAAGAGAAAATGACCTGCTGGCGATTGAATGCAATTTGCACTTCATATCAGAATAAAAAACTGAAAACAAAAACCAGGCCGAGGCCCCACAGTAGCATCACAAAATAAGCAGGTCTCTGATGTCAAGTTGTTCCGCGCAGAGGATCATTAACACAAACACACTCCTGTTCATACTTGCACACTAACAAATGCAGACACCCACTTGCTCATCCACTCTCCTTCGCACACAAACCCACAGACACGCATCCTCATACTTGCATACTAACACTTGTGGACATTAACAGGCCCATGAACACAAATAGTGTACACTCATACAAGTGTAAAAGTACAGACATACCCACAAAGAGCACTAACATGCACATGTGCACGCAAACACAGTCAGGCACACTTGTAGAAACACATGAACCCATGGACTCTCACACAAACACACTCGCCTGCATGCGCACCCACACTCTGATCCAGTTCCACCCCTACAAGGTTACTTGGAATGCCAGGACCAAAATGAGAAACAGAGTCCAAATACCATATTTACTCAAATAAAAAAAACAGGATTCAATTAAAAGCCAGGTGTTAAATAATGACTAGGGGTGTGTGGTCAACATGAGGAAGTACAGGCCAGGGGCAAAGGCAGGACTGGATCAACTCATGGGAACTCATCTCTAAAGGCTTCGCAGAAAAAAAATGAAAAACATCCGTATGCCTTCCACATGGCCGGGTGGAGCCCTGGGTGGGCCTGCTTTAGTCCCATGGAGGTGTGACATCATGAAAGGGACCTAGAAATTGTATGATCGTGGGTGCAGCCTTCAGTGCCACCTACACAGGCCAGCGTGGAGAACAGATTTATTGATGGACTTTGTCTTGATCCTTAATCACAGTTCACACCTGGCCTTCAGCAAGCATGTCCACTCTTCCCTGTTTTCAGTCGTTAGTCTGCCTGGGGGGGGGGTAGCTAGTTGACTTGGACCACCAGAGGTTTTTTTTCTCCTTACTTGGGGTCTTTTGGTTCATATCCCCGGCTTGTCATCTGGCTTTATTTAATTTTCCCTTCCTTTTTCCCGTTCTGTCTCGCTCTCTGATGTTATTAAATGTATCACACCACATCCATGTAAAGCACCTTCGGAAGACTGTTGTGAAAGGCGCTATATAAAAATTGAATATGCATCTCTACGAAGACTACGGGACTTACAAAATAAAAGATGAAAAAGTTTGCACATTTACAAACATTCAAAGCAGTCTGGAGTTCAGAGAGAAATGTGCATCTAAACTGCATTTAGTCAGTTTTAGCGCTTCATGAAATATGCGTTAATAAATATTGAGACATCCTTATATCCCACAATGCACATTCAGCACTTGTTCTGTTTTAAATTAAAATCTTTCCAGGTTTCATTTCTCAAAAGGTAAGCTGCAATATTTGTACTTAGGTAAGATCCTAGTTTTTCCCAGTTCAGATTTTGCTTGCAGTTAAATATGATCGTTATAAGACATTTGATTGTGTCGTAGATAAGGAATACCTAACACTCACAGTTCAAGTAAGGTTTTGGTCATATTTTGTGACACCTAGGCATACTTACAATAAATTCTCATACATGTCTAGGCATACTGCACATAAGTTAATCGCCTGTATGATTTAAATGGCATTGAAGTTAATTTCGACCATAAAACACATTTAGAAGGCAATCACTGGTACCGTTAGCCAGCTCTTAAAACTTAGGTGGCCCTGCTACACTAATCTACCATTATACACTCTTAAGAGCATATTTCGAGTAAATATATCCACTTTGTTTTACAGGGTTTGAACTGACACAATGGTGGCGTTTCATTCATCCATATACAGAATCTATACTAAACAGCAGAATGCAGTAACAGAAGGAATTAGAAATTAAGGTCTGCAGATGGCAGGAAGTCCTGTTACTTCTGCAGCGTTGGTAAATACAGGCCTGCCTCTATTTTGGGCAGGCCTGAATTAAAAGGCTCACTACTTCTGCAACTTTGTTAAATAAAGGCCCCACTACTACTTGAGGAAGTATGGTAAAACCAGAGTAAAAGCAAGGAACCGCATGGTAACCTGAAAGAAGTCTGATCATGACTCAAAGAAAAGTCACAGTGAAAATCAGCCATTCCAATTCATACCCATGGGGGGCGGAGGGTCTTTACAAGAAAATTTCAATAAAAAAAAAAAAATAAAATAAAAATACAAAGTAACAGGGAGGAGGGTGTCGGGGGGTTTAGATGAGACGCGGTACCGACCACCGACCTACTCATACTGATGTTAAGGAAAAGCCACGCTCCTGGACACAAGCACTGCTGGACAGAACAAAGGAGTGTCACATGGGAGACGTCCACATCCTGTCTGCGATGTAAAAACCAACAAATCTCAGTTCGCTTTGAAAGGTCATTAAGGTGAAATGGCTTGTCTTCTGCATGCGGGTGGGCCAGTGCCTTTGGGGGAGGGAGGGTGGTGGGGGGGGCAGGGCTCACACCGTTTTCAGCTCCTCTTTTGTACTGGTGTTACAGAAAGAGAAGTAAACATCCAGAGTCAGGGTGCAGGAGGCTGTGCAGAGCGACTGTCAACGTAGCTCCCTCTTCAGCCACCAGGAGTTACACTCACCTCTTTGTGTCCATTTTTTCCTCAACTGCCCCCTTGTCCTCCTCTTTCACCTCTGCAGGACATGAAGAGACAGTCATGCCTTGTTACAGGGACCCCATGCCCCCCTCAAGGCCCCCACTCACCCTTCTCCTCCCCATCCTTCTCCTCGTCGGTCTTCGCCCGCTTAGCCTTCTTGTAACTGGTGGTGTTCCGGCGGCCGCCCTGCCCCTCATCCTCAGAGTCTGAGAACTCCTCATCACAAGCAATCCGTTTGTCGTGGGCGAGGACTGTGAACATGATACGGGGGGGGGGGGGGTAATCGAATCTGTGTTACGAAGAGGGGACTGAGTTACAGGGGTCACCTTCCACAGTCACACACACACACACACACACACTCTCTGCAGTGTGAGGGAACAGGGTCAAAGGAAAAGCTCCGGTAATACAGACCAGATACTGGAGGCCTTACCAGTGCCTTTCCTGTGACCCCCCTGCAAGCCCGGCAGCACCTACTCTAACCCAGGCAGGGGGGGGCACTATAGTCTCCACTCACTGGAGATTCGCTTGTCGGGGTCATCCTCGTCCTCATCCCCGCTGTCCTCCTGCACGGTGTCCTCTGGGATGGCCTGAGCCTGCACACCGGGAGCATGAGGCAGCATGCGGAGGTTCTCAAACAGACGCTGCCTGCAGGGGGCGCACCGGAGCACAGAGGTCATTCTTGGATTAGGCTGTGTCATATGCCTAATTGAGCATCTCTTTAGTGAAAGGGGAGTCTGACCTTTGACCCTTGGCTGACAATTCCCCAAGTATATAAACCACATCTGACCACAAATCAGGGCAAATGCACAGAGAGGCTCTGCTCACTTGATCTTCTCCAGGTAGTCGTTGGTGTTCTGGTTGGTCATGTTGGAGGGACTGATGTGTAGCTTAAAGTCAGGTCCAAAGTACTCAAAGTAGTCGTTATAGGGAAGCTCTGTAGGGGGCAGACATGGAGGACGCAGTCATGACAGGGAAGCCCTGTAGGGGGCAGACCTGGAGCACAAAGGCAGGCCAGGCGGGGGCCAATACCGTTGGGGATGGCGGTGTCCAGAGCCACAGCGGTCTCATAGGTCCAGCAGCGAGCCACATTGCGGATGGTGTAGCCCCCCCCCCCCAGCATCAGCAGCGGCAGGTTGAAGCTCTTGATATACTCCACGCATTTGGCGTGCCCTAGATGTAGAGACATCTTAGGTGGACAGAATGGTGCACAGATGCAGGATGAAGGGTGGTGACACAGATATGCAGGATGGGGCATGGGGGGGGGGGCTCACCTTTGATTGTGAGGTTGAAGCAGCCCAGTCTGTCCCCTGATAGGGAATCGGCCCCACACTGGAGCACCACTGCGCTTGGCTGGTAGGTCTCCATCACCTTGGCCATGATCTGGAGGGGGAGCAGGTCAGAGACTGAGCCGAATAGGGCTACAAAGTGAACCGCCGCCAGAAAAAAAAGGCAGTAGAGTTTTCGAAATACAGTGGTACCTCAGTTCTTGAACTCATTAGAACTCGAATTTCTTAAAAGTCGAACCAACCAGTTCGAAAAAAATGACCTAGAGATCGATCAGAATCTCAGAAGAGAAACTGTGAACGCTGACCTAAGACAATTTACGCGCAGGGAAATGAGTCACGCGGCACGTCTCTCAGCGGAAACAAAGGGTAACGCTTCAGTTTCAGCCTCGCATTCGATGTGAGTGAGTATCATGCATGTTTACACTAGCTGAATAGAGACAGTAAAAATACTGTCTCATTGTCTAAATGTAACAGCAATTATACAATAAAACATTTTTAAATAGATCTTATTTTAATAATTATAATAATATTGTTGTGCCGAGCGGGGACAGAACGGAGACAAAGGCACAGACGTCAGGGTATCGGGGAATACGGGGTTTAATTACAGGTAAGGCAGGCAAAACGCAGACGGACAATACAATAACCGAACTGGGGAAACAAACACGGACGAAGTTACAGAGGACTCGTGACAACAACCAGAAACAGCTGATCACAAGGGAATTCCACACAGGGTCAACGAGGGGGCGTGGCAGACGGAAGGAGTGGATGATCTGAGCAGGACACATTGTTTGGATACATTTTCTTACTTTACAAATTACTGTTTTTTTTGGGGTCCGGAACCAATTTATTGGTTTTCCATTACTTATGGGGAAAATTCAATCAGAACACGAACTTATTAGGATGCGATCTGGAGTTCTGAACGGATTAAGTTCCAGTGCTGTGGTACCACTGTACTAGTACATTATTTTGGGGGGGGGGGGACTGATGGCCATCCACAACAGTAATATACATAATGTACAGCCGCGGTCACCAACTGGCAGGCTCGGGGCAAAGAAAGTCAAACAGCAATGTCGAGAATGATCTCACACACACACACGATTTTGAAAAGTAACCTTTGTTAAAAATTGTTAATTTTATTCCCTGACTGACCAAAAACATTTTAGCACAACATATTGATGGCCTGAACCCAGCATACTATCGTGGTCCTTGTGATGTTGCAATTGCAACATCGATATTAACACTGCCACTGTGTGGTGCAAGCCCATCACTGCTCACACCTTCACCCCATGTGGGCAGGGCTTTGCTGCAGGGTCTCCATTTCCTTCCGCTGTCCAGACACAACTTAAAATTAACCATACGTATGACCCTGAAAGGGTTAGTTGGTTCCTGCCTTGTACCAAATGCAATGTATCAATATTACTTAAAGAAACATCAGATTAGTAATAGAATTACTCAATTATGGATATAACAGCGTGTGGCTCAGTGGGCTAAGCCTGTGTTGCCTGTAATCACAAGGTTGCCAGTTCAAACCCAGCCTCAGCATGTCCGTGGGTCCTTGGGCAAGGCCCTTAACCCCCAGCTCCCTGGGCACAAACATTTTTGTTGACTAGTAAGTGCCAATTTCAACTCCACTACAGAGCCCAGGACAACATTTGAGAGCATTTCCCTTTTCTAGGGGAGAAGAAAAGTGACTGAAGCTGAAATTCGATAGCAAAGCAATTTTGGTATCGTAACACTAAAGCCAAAGCCAGGGAGAAGCAACCTACAGGTTTGAAGATGGCTTCATACGACTCGTCATCAATTCCGTCTCGGAGGGGGTAGTTCACAGCATAGTACTTGCCCTTCCCCGCACCAATGTCCTGGTGGGGGGAGAAACAGTCAGGCTCTCAGACACAGCTAGTTCCTTACAGTAAAAAAAAAAAAAAAAAAAAAAAAAAAAAGCACATCAATAGAAAAGTTCATTCTTTTCAGCCTCACAAACTAAAGTAGCGACAAGGAAGCATAACCAAAACAGGAACAGATGAGCAAGGCCGTGCGCCCCCTGCTGACTGCATCAGACATTACAGCCATTTAGTAGGCAGTTTTGTACAAAGTGACATAGAAGAGACATTACAAGCATACAGCCGTTAAGGAGCCTATTGGGCATAAACGCAGCTAGGCTGAGCTTACACTAAAAGAGCAGTAATCCAAGAGCTACACAATACGACAAACACAGAAAGACACCCACAAACCATAGGGGGAGCTATCCGAACCTGAACAGACTGAGGAGCATAGCTTCATACGGGACAAGAGGAGGAAGGAGTAAAACAAAAAAACCAACACACAAAAAAAAAAAGCCAGTATTGTTAAGTGACCACAATGAGGGAGGGGCCTGTGCAGAGCTCAGCACTCCGGTGGGCGGGACACGCACCCTGAGGTCCCCGGTGCCCGGAAAGTACTCTCCGTACTTGTGGAAAGATACAGTCATGACGCGGTCAGTGGTGTAGAAGGCCTCCTCCACGCCATCACCGTGGTGAATGTCAATGTCGATGTACAGCACCCTCTGGTGGTACCTGCCAGGTATCCAGCGACACAGCTGGAGGTTACCCCGTGTTGGCAGCACCCCGGACATCCCTCCACATGCCGCTCAGTCCCGCTTACTTCAGCAGCTCCAGAATGGCCAGGACGATGTCGTTGACGTAGCAGAAGCCGGAGGCCTCGGACTTCTTGGCGTGATGCAGCCCTCCCGCCCAGTTGATGGCGATGTCCGTCTGCTGCTTGTTCAGCTTGACTGCTCCAGCTGTGGAGGGTGTTTGCAGGAGACGATAAGACTCGCAGACACCCCCGCCCCCGCCCCTTAGTAACAGCACCCCTACTCACCAACAGAGCCCCCAGTGGAGAGCTGGCAGAACTCAAACAGGCCATCGAACACTGGACAGTCCTCACCCACATTAACTATGCAGAGAGAAAAACGATGTTTAAACAGAGGAGCTGCAGGAGGAGGTGAAGCTAGAGGTGTGGGCCTTCCCGCCTGCCCCCATCATCCACTCACATCTCTGCATCTGCTTGCTGTACTCAGACATATTGTCTGGGCGGATGGAGCGCAGGAACTTGATGTAGTCGTCACTGTGGTATTTGGTCATCTCCTCTGCATTGGCCTTATGGGGGCGCTGTGGAGGGGATAGGCAGATCACATACATGACCACACAGAAGTGCTTATGGCCAGAGCCCTTGCATTAGGGCACTGCGTACATACGTAGATCTCCATCTTGCGGTATAGACCGTAGTTGAGCAGCAGGTTGTGGGTCATGCGGATGCGGTGCGGCTTCATGGGGTGCCCCTGGCCGTAGTAATAGTTACCGACGTCACCTAGAGGGGGGGCAGGGAGAAGACCTGAGCTCACACTATCAAAACGAGGAGCAGCATTAACCACAGCGCACAAGCATGCAGCCCCCTCAAAGCCAAAATATTGATAGTACATAAATATGGCCCTGAGGGTGACTGCTGAAGAACCCGTTCGCGAATAGCTCCGGACGGACATATACCGGCCACCGGGGAGATGCCGCCGTGACGGTCCGGAGAGCGCGCTCACCCCGCTGCAAGTAGTTCCGTGTCAGCTTTACATGTCTAACTGCATAAACAGCGACTCTTCAGAGAAAGACGCGGAGCAGCGGGCACCAGGCACCCAGCGGCTACGTCCTTGGTGACATGCAGCCCGGCGAGCGGCCCCCGCGAATTGACGGCGGCCCGCCCCTGCAGCCCGTGGCGCCTCGGCCGCCAAAAACACACAAACGACTTCCCTCTCCCTCCAGATCATAGCGCAATCCACATCCCAATAACCTCAAACCGAGCGGTGGTGCATAGCGTGCCGGAGCTTACCATCATAATAATAACAAACTTTCTTCTTTGTTCCTTGAGTCAGCGCCATTTTACCTCCGGACTGAGGCACGGAGCGTCGGCACAGGCGTCTGGATGCCGTAACGGGGACTGCGCTTTGAACTCCGATTCAGCCAATCGTCGTGCGCAGTCCGGCCAGAGGGCGGGGCTTACCGCTCTGCTTAGCCAGTCATGCAACGGAAAATTCGATAACTGGCGATTGGGGAGAGGGACCCCTGTGCTCGGCCTGTGACCGAAGTGTGCGGTTCAGTTAAATTTGCGATTTTTACTGATGCATAGTACAGTAATAGGATAGAGTCCAAATCATGTATCGATAAATAAATACTAATAAGTTAAACATTTCCAGTCATTTACGGTTTTACATAATGTTTAATTACATATATAGTATCCTTTATGGTGTAATTGCAGTTACATAATTTTTTTGTTTACTGAATGACGCAATTCACGGTCCTACCTGTATATGTAACTGCAGTAGGACAGGGTGGGGCTGAACCTGACCCAGGGACACCTGTTCTGTCACCATTGTTATGGTAGCCTGAGGAGCCCCTGTCCAATGGCGTAGGAGAGAGTTTGATATTGGGGAGACACAACTTAATATTTTAAATATAAATGTCTGTTTGTTGGAGGATAAATGAAGCCAAATTAAATATTGGGGGGGGGGGGGGTTTTGGTGTTTGTTTGGGGGGGGGGAGAGGGGGGGGGGGGGGGGGGGGGGTTTTGGTGTTTGTTTGGGGGGGGGGAGAGGGGGGGGGGGGGGGGGGGGGGTGGGGGGGGGGGGGGAGGGGG